TCCCGTGCTCAGGGCATAAGAAAGCTCCAGAAGTGTCTGAGCACTACTACCAACCATTATGAGGTGGACCCCTCGTCGTTGAACAACTTTCCAACGGCTTCGCTGTTCTCTGGTCACCGTAGCACCGAGACGCGAGCTTATACGTCGATCGGTCCGCAAGCTTCTTTGAGCTACCAGAATATCCTCTCCAACACCAGACAGTATAACAGCTTCGGTAGTATCACTGAACAAGCAATTTTATCACTATTTTATCTATCTATCTATCTATCTATCTATCTATCTATCTATTTATCTATCTATCTATCTATCTATACATAATACAATATTCTATTTATCTATTATTATTATTGAAATTCTGTAGACCGTCAGATTTCGTTCTTTTTCTATGTTACTTGAATGAGACAAGTCTATATTACCTTCTCTAAGTGCTTCGTTTTTCGTTTTCTTCTTCGTTCATTTCGTTGTTCGTTTCATTTCACTATGTCGGTAGAGCGATTCTTCTACGATAAACTCTACACGCGGTCGACGGAGTCCAGGAATATCTTGAACGGCGTTTGTAGTGACTATTCAGGGTGTCCGGGAAATTGTGGCGTGATTCAGAATGGAAAATATCGAATGTATAGTGTAACTTTCCTTTGTACCTTTTTGTGTACTTGATACGTAGTTTTCTCAGAAATGTGAATAATTAGGGGGGATTTTAATTGTTTTGGAAACAGTTCTTGTATATTTGAATATGGTCTGGTGGATAATTTTTTTTTACTTTTTCAAGCGTTTCTAATGTACCTTTACTCGGCATATATTGGAAAAGGTATTTTCAAGTGAAGAGAAATTGAAAGTTTAGAGTTTGTTTCTTAAATAATTAAATTTGATAATTTCTTACACATCGGTGTTCTTAATGTCCACATTTTAATGTCTATGTACGAAAATTTGGTTGTATAATAATTCGAGGCAAAGAATTTGGAAAAGTGCGTTTGAAGGAAAAGGAAAATTCTACAAAACTGTAGTCTAAAATAGGAGCGGGAAAGGAAAATCAACAATTTTGTCAATTTTCCAGCAACCAGGGAAGACGCAGGTTAGAAAATGAAAGGTGGCAGAGTCGAACATTTCAGGAACTTAACGAGACATGAAATTTTTATTTTTCAGCTACCGTTTTGTGTCGATGGTGACATCACTTGATGAACTTAATTTTTTGTAAGTGGAATCGTTCGTTCCATTTCGGGGACAACATTTTTGTTTTTTTTCTTTGTAACGCGAACGTGTAAACTCGGTAGCTGCAGTGGTAGTCCACCGTTTAACGAGTGAAATGATCACACATAGTCGAAGTTCCAATGGAAGAACAAACATGCATGAATGAATTGTGACATGTTGCAGCTTTCAAGCTTTATCAGATGGAGAACAACTGTTCGTTTCCACCAACTGATCTTATTTTGCGATCATAACAATTACGTAGCATCGTAAGACAAATAAGAACGTCGCATACTAAGAAGTAGCTCGCACAGTCTTTAGTAAAACACGTGCACAATATTTTTATGTCTGAAGTCATTTCTCTCGAAAACTATGCGATTAATCCAAAAGATATTTAGTTTCTATTTCATTCGTTGCTTTATGAAGAATTTATCTCATTTCACAACTTACCGGATACCCTTTTTACATATATCAATATATCTGTGCGAAATAAATTGAATAAAATTGTGTGTTTTCGTTTGAAAATTATTGAAAATATACTATGCCTACATTGTATAAAAAGAAAATTACTTCTGGCTGTATAGTATCAATTATAATGAATTAACATGCAAACTGTTCTTTGCTAATGGAAATCTCTTCCATTATAAAAGAAAGTCACCTCTTTTGTAATGATTTATATTTTGATTAAATTAATAAATTTCTGTACAGTCTTAGAAATTCTTACTATAATAGAAATAGTATCTTAGCGTTTCTTGGAAATCTTCTATTTTCTTTTTCGTAGCATTCTCAAAAATCCAAAGACATGTCACATTATAGATGCATAACAGATGCAACAGTAAGAAAAGTGAATTGTTAACTTCGCGAAACGCTGTTTTCAAGATTGGCCCTCCGTTGTCGTATCCTTTTTTTCCCGCTGTGTCTGATTGATAAATACTGTCTGGTCTTTGCTGAGTGTGGATCCGTACCTTCGGCAGAATTTACTTCTCTGCATCGCATCTTTGTTTCTTAATGATCTGCTCACTCGCTCTTGATCAAACCACTTTCTCCAAGACTACACAAAATGGCACATCATCTGATCTTTGCGTGATTTTCTAGTTCTCACTCTGCACATTCGATAAGAAGTAATATTCTTACCGCGTTCTCTTCGATTTTCCTCTGTCTGCCTTATTATTTCAGTTGACTTTTTTTCTCTAATAGATGTGGCCTAACGATACACTTCAACTAACTTATTCGCTGGGTGTACGATGTATGACGTATCGGATGCGCAGGATCTTAATGAAGATCGATTATATTTTTTCATGATCGATTCTAGCACAATAAAATCTGTTTCTCACTGAAAATATATACTTGACTATATTTATAATGTAACGTTTAGGATTGTCGGTACTATTTACAAGACTCTGCGATCTTTTCGTTGACTGACAAGTGGGTTCTATAGTACTTTAAAGGGTTCAGAACTTTGAGAGTAATTAGTATTTTTACCAAATAAAAGAAAAAAGCCCTAACAAATATGTATCTAGGAATCAATATTCTTAAAGTTATGTGTAATTTTCTTTTTTCCTAATTCACTATAATAGTATAGCAATTTTATTGTTCTTTTATTTGACTGGAAAGTAAAAGAGGACGAGAATTATTTCAATATTTCGTTTATTTTATTACAATGAAATAAATTAATTTATTGTTAGTGGAATGACCAATTTAGAGAGTAAATAAGTAACGAATATCTGCACTCTTCTCTGTAAGGAATCGATCTAACGCGAATATATTTCGATCTTCATTAAGATCCTGTGTAGACGCGCGCACGTGCGTGTATGTATACCAAACAAATACGAGAACATTTAGAGAGTTCAAGGATGTTGAAGAATGCCTCTTTAGTGAAAAATGCATACACATATATTACTGCTACTGAAATTTCGTTTCTTTCTATAGAGTGTGAATTTGTCTGTGCTCATTTTGACTCTCTCTCTCTATATTTTTCAGTTTTGGAATCAGGTCATCTTTTATGTTCGAGCTTTGAAGTGTCTCTGAGAGTGTGAGATGTGTCGAACGTGCAATAGTTAGAGAAACGATTGATAAACGAAGCTGATATTCTCATCTAAATCAATACAATAATCCACGGTGTTATATTACGTACGTGATATTTGAATAGTGTAATATTATGTGCAAGTATTTTACACGTTGGATACTAAGTTACATAGAGAGATGGGCCTTGTTGCGGTAAAGCTGTATTATAAAGTACGACATCCAGTTTTCGTTCGTTTAATTAGATATCTGCAGTTACGCACATCCGGACAAAAAGATAGGACATGTGTGGTAATATAATATATCGTTATGCGTGTTGTCTGTGATGAGAAGGTTAATTAAGATTAAAGATGAAAGGAGTATCATCAGAAATCAATAATAATACAATAGCTACAAGTACGATATTGAATATTATTTAATCAATTTCTTAGTTGCACCTTAGCATTTTCAACTCTTTTAAAAATTCTCTCCTTATAATCACGCTTCGCAGATTTCTTTATAATAGCGTCACGATTCCCTTCACGTCATTGCACTATTCAATAACGAATAAAGTGGCAAAGCTACGCATGGAGCACTCAAGCAATTAGTTTTTTTCCATTTAGTGAAGATGTAATCCACTTCTTTACTAAATGGATTTTTTACTTCGACTCTATTGATAAGGAAAATGAGGAGCTAGATACAATTGAATTGTCAGTGACGAACGCAGAATCATATTCGCTATTCCCTGTTATCGTGTTTCTAGTCCTAAGCAATGTGATTATAAGCAAGGAATACTCTTACGTTTTCAATTTGTTGGAAGACCATGCGCAATAGATAAATTTCCACTCTCTTTGCTCAGAACAAAACTACTTCTTATAATGAGATATTATGTGTCTCAAAGCTTGTATTTCGTCTTTACTTCGAATTCAGAAGATTCAAAACCTATCGGGAACACACATGCGCTACCATTTGTCCGAGCGTGTATTTATATGGGAATAATGACTTAAAATTAGGTTGCACTTGTACGATATATCGAAACTGACGAAAGATTTCATTTAGGATTTCATGTTTGAATATAAATGCTAATTACTTATTCTATAGGAAGAGCATACGAAACGTTTAAAAGTACGATTAATGGTAAATATCCCTACGTGCCTCCCGATTTCAAATAAAGAAAATTAAGAATGACATTTAGCGGCAAAACCATGCGGTGAAATAGAATTTGCTTAACGGTGTCGACCACACAAAGTAACGGGGTGAGGGAGGGGGGCATAATGCCTGTGCTGCTGCTTTAGAACGTTAACTTATCCTCACCGATTTAATTACAACATCTTATTGCGGCAACGTTTCCAATGAATTTCTTCTCTGATCAAGAAAATCAGTTCATCGGATCGACTTGATGAATGCTGAATTGAATGAAAGATTTTATTCTGTGAACTATCCTCTCAAGAGAGATACTAGTCGTCATAGTTGTTGTTGTTGCTGTCGCTGTTATTATTATTATTGTTGTTGTTGTTATTGTTGTTGTTATTGTTGATGTGATTTATTGTTGTTCTTGACATTGTTGCTATTACACGAGTCACACACGTCGATCATTCATTTCTTTATTTATCTATTTTTTTTTCTTTTCTTTCACACTCTGACCGAAACTATCTCTAAGCGCCAATCCTCGTTGATATTCATTGACAAGAAACTGCCTACGTGTCAGAGATGTGTATTGTAATAGATGTTGCATGCTCGTTACACTTAACCGGCAACCGGTCCTCGTTCAATATTTAATTTTGTATTTATTGTTGGGATTGCTGGTCGGGTAGACAAATATGACAGTTCGTTTCAACGATCAAGGAGCTCGAGCATGTCGTCGCTCGAGAACATCACCACGGAGACCATCAGCTGCCTTACATTCGCAGATTCCTACACGAAGAAAACCGGTACGTTACTTAAATATAAATAAACGATAAGTATAATATTTTCCATTATTATATTTAATAGAAATTTTCTCATGACTCGCTTGAGTATATGGAAACTGATTTTTCACATTAGTTATTATTACACTACCAATCTTTATGCATTCACAGCGAAAGCAAATGAAATGTTTACATTTCTATTGAATTTCCCTTTTTCTTTTATGGTACTTTTAACTTACTGAAACTAATCATGCAAGCTCTAAAGTTGTATTTTCCTTAACTTTCTCAGTGTTTTATACTATCGAGTGCTTTGATTTTAATTTCTTAAGATACCTGCCCGGTACCAACACTCTGGATTGGTACATCGTTAGGATCCATACAAACGGTGATATTTAACACGCCTGTTCGTGGAGAACGACATGCTCACCCAGTCGTTGTTTCTACGTGCAGTAAGTGCTCTTTTAATTTTAATGAAATGCATGTCAATGTTGAATGAAAAGTAATACCTGCTAATAATTGTGTAACTTCTGCAAAGATAGTGATTCATATAAAAATATAAATTATTATTCTCAACATTATTTTCTGAATATTATTATAATCTGAGTATGTAGACTTTAAAATCTGTTTTAATCGTATTATTTTTCATTCGATTTATATATGTTGACTTCAATAAAGAAGCGATTATCTATGTGTAATATTTATTTTTACTTTTTACAGATGGATCTACTTTTAAGTTAAAGGGTTGTATTCTATCGATAGCCTTCCTAGACTGTAATGGCGCTTTGATTCCATACTCGTTTGAGTCCTGGAAAGATGATAGCGCGGAGGGCAAAGAGCGTAACAGTATGTTCCGATACCTATTTTATTCGTACAATTATTTAGAATCAACAAAATTTTTCATTGGCAATGAAATACTTTTTAAAAAGTTAATAAAAAGAATAAGTAAATTAATTGAAAAAGATAACGAATTGATCATATCAACGGTCTAATGATATTATCGGTTTCAAAGGAATTGCAGAAATCAGTTTCATTTACTCCATGATACCCTATGCAATAAAGTAACAATTACTTTGTCATTTATTATTAAAGAGAGCCAAGGTAAATGTACAAATACTCGGATGTCACCGTCGATGACTACACAGGCAGCTGCAGGAGACGGTTTCGAAGATCGTCAGTTTGTCGTGTTGGTGTCTGAGAAGCAAGCGAGGGTTTTGGCGTTACCATCACAAAATTGTCTGTATAGACAACAACTGGCTGAAACTCATATTGTGATTAAAGCAGAGATTACCACTATAAAAGGTAAATTATTCTCTTCGCTTTTTATCTTTTCATTTAATCATTTGTCTTCAACGTATATTTGCAATTGAAAGATTGCAAGATAAGATTGCAAATAAAAAAAGTTGTTATCTTTTTCCTTTAGACAATGTTTGTCTCGTGTGTTACGTTTCAAATGGACACATAGCTACATATAGTCTACCAAGTCTGAGGCCACTGATAGACGTCGATTTCCTGCCTCTAATAGATTTAAGGTAAGAGGAATTATCATTTCATTAGATTAGCTTTTATGGCATTTAACGAAGCAAATAATAATTATACTTGCACACGGTATATAATAAGGCACTAAATGCTACTGCGACGATGCAACACTGCAACACTTTATATATCGCTAACAGTAGTGTAAATTGCATTATACTAACACGAGTACTTTTTCGTATTGATACATTTTGAATCAACTATTTTCGAAATGCAGTATAGAACAGATTCTGGTTCTTGAATGAATTACCTTTAACCTGTTAACCGTATGACTTCTTGGTACATGAATATTGAGTATAAATTAAAATTATTTAAAGTGATTTATCCTCTAATTGTTAATTAATTTATACAATTACAATACTCTGACAGATAATTACAAAATTGAGAAATAATTGAAAAAACTCATTTTTATCGGTTAACGGGTTAACACTTTTGGGTATTTAATTTATTCATTTAAAAAACTTTGATAATGTAAATAAAATCATTTTTCTTAAGTACTCGCAATTTTTAGTTTATTTAATACAAAATATATTATGATTCTATTACTCTTGACGAAAAATATTTGATGAATGAAGCTGAACAATTTTTTATTATAATGATGAACAAAGAAGTTATCCTTATATAAGCAAAATATTAATATAGAAATTGGGAAATTAAAACAAATTTTTAATATGGATATATAAAAATAATTTATTAAAATGCACCTAATCATTCAGTTGATTAAATACTTTTCGCCAGGAGTAATATATAAATTAATGAATAATACATAATATTGCTGCGTGGAGAATTTCTAAATCTTTCTAACAGCTATTAATCATTCTACTTTTATTAACATAACATAGATACAACATGTAAAATACGTTATTTAAACAGGATATACCAGTTTTAGTCTTTCCTCTCAATTATGTTCGAATTCAGGATCTATTTGAAAAATATTCTCATTCAAACATTTTATTGAATTTATTTTTATAAAATTATTTACAAATTGTACAATAGAGCAGTGAATTCTTTTAAAGAAGCAGTTAACATACATTTTACGCAATGTAACTTTCTTTTAAACAGTCAATAGAATCGAACATAAATATTTGGAAAGATTACAACAGGACAGTTTGCATCTATAAATAATTCTTTCTCTGGAAGAAAATATTAAAATTATATGCATAGATACGTAACATTGTTCTTACTTCCTCATATTCCATACTATTTGCATTAAATGCACAATTTCTCTTCTAACACGTTAATTCAGCTCGTTTCTTATATGCATATTAGCACGTGTTATGATGCGTTAATATAATAAATCAAGTTTTACCAAATCTAATAAACTAACACTCTGCAGTAACAAATCGTTTGTTGAAAAATTGTTTAAATATTATATTGTTGAAACTAACAATAAATTAAATGGTACATGAATTATAAATAATTTATTTAAAGAATGGATTCATATTAAAAATATAGAGTCCAACTTTCTTCTGGAATCTTGTTGCAGTATAAAATATTTCTTGTATCATCATAACTAAAAGAAATATTTATGGTCCGTTTTATAAAAGGACTCTTGGTGGAAATACCGGAATGTCGAAACATTCGACGCATTGAAATATTACCTCCATGAGTTCTTTTATAAAACAGACCATAGATGACATAGCTAGGAGTGATATGTATGTTGGTGACAGTATAAAATAGCAATGAGGATATTATTAAATAAAAAGAATGGTAGAAGGTGAAGAAGATACTAAAATACTGTTGTTACAGATTGTGTACTACAATCTGAAACTGAACTGAAATAATGAAATTAGTTGCAGTCGATTTTATAGATTAGTGTTAACAAAATATTTTCAATTGGTTTTATCAAGTGTTGTACAAAAATAAGGGAAAAGGGGTTTAGAAACGTTGACGTTAGCAGCAATCTTTCAGTAGCATGGTAATCTTTTTTAATACAGTTTACGTATTTGTAAACCATTGATACACATTCTATAATGTATTATAGCATGCTTCATCGTAGATCTTTATATCAGCACTTGTATTGCACCATGTAAAATCTTTTACATAGATGATTTCATTAGTTAAAGGTATTAAACGTTAAATGATCATCTCCGTATTCGCAAGTAATGTTAAGTATGTATCTGCAGATTTTATTCACTTACGTTCCGCGTTTCTAAAAAGTCATAGATATTGAGAAATAAGAATTTATTAATTTATGTGCAACACGATTAATAGTCACATTACCAACGAGAACAATTGTTCTACTGTTCAATTTAGGTGTTCAATTGAATTGAAATTGCTATTTACTTATTTAGTAGAGACAAAAGGAAATCACGTGCACTAACCCATAAATAAATAATACTCCAGCGGGACATTTTTTCAATTTTCTATTTATTTAATATAATTTCTTAAAAATAGAAATACCAATATCCTAGCACACATTTTCAAATATTTTATCATAGTTTTTATGTTTATTAAGATACTCTACGAAAGTATGTTAAGAAGAGAATGATTTTGATGTTTAAATATGATTTAAATTAATGTTTAACGCATATTTCATAAAATAATGAAATAAATGTTCACCACATTTGATACTAACCTACACTTTTATATGCTCTATCTTTATCGTGGGTGTCAATACGAATTGGCATGTGATAACTGATAAGCGACAGCAATCAGTTTAAGGTAGTCATAAATTAAATATTTATGTAACTGTTATTGTTTTTTGAATATTATACAGAATGTTCCAGCTCTTATTACCCTCATTACATCCTTAATTTATCACTTACATTTATTCTTATGATATCGCAAATAATATATTAGCATCAGTATATGTATAAATTTCTAAAAATCGTAATGTGTGAATTTCTATGTCGCTCTAATTGTTTACGAAATAATATAATTGTACATTTTCAATTATTTAGATTAGTATGCTCAATATTTCAATATCTAAAGTAGCAGATGTTCGTATTTTCCAATGCACGATTCGTTCTACTTCAATTTTTACATATTTTATTAATATACGCAGTAGTTATACATTTAAAAAGCTCATAAATTTATCATTTAATCCTTTCGTATAACCCGATTTCTTTTGGATTTAGAGATAAGTCTAAGAATTCTTTTCATCATTTTAGTATGAATATTTACTAATAAAAACGCACTTGTTCATTTTTGAAGAAAATACTAGCAATTATTAATAATATTCAATTACGACTATCATTTATATAATATTAATGAGCAAATCATAGTCATTTAAAAGCAGTTCTTTATTAGTCATTAATTGTTAATCGACATCTTCTTCTTCTTCCGTGATATATAGGATTAATAAAAATATCTAAGTATTCAATTAAAAAACTTTTTACAGCAGCAACAGTACAATATACATGATCTATATTGTGTTTTATCTACGAGGTATTATTCCATTATTATTAAATTATTTCATTTGTCGGAAAAGTTAATGTTTATATGTAAAATAATTTTCTATTTGAGAGATACACGGAATACAACAATTGTACAAAACTTTGAAAAATCTCTGATACTTCGTCATCGACATACACAATTTTTTTTACATCGAATATGTATTAAAAGATGTAAAGAATCATTTGTTGCGGCTTTTGGGATTGAATCTACTTTTCAACAACTTCAGAAACAAGAAATCATTTTTTGCATCGTTTACAGCTTGGTTATTTGTTACATTTACTTGACTCGATATCTAGTGACTATTTCCCTTTCTCAAATGAAAAACAATCCATATAAGGCTCTTATATAAGGTTCAATCGCTTCTACCATTTGTAACGTCTCCATTATTTTTGGAGATATAGAAAACTTTATTTTCAAACGTTTCAGCACTCCAAGAATAATGTTTCAGGATGTGTGAATTTTATGAGAGATTTCAAAGATGTCAACGTTTCTTTAAATGGTATATTATAATTTTTTATCTTTCATAAAATAATAGATGTTTAAATAATTTCATATTTAACCATTCGACGCTAAATGAAGGTTAAAAACGATAACTCTGAACGTCAATTGTTCTATCATACATAAAAAATTATACTGTGCTATTAAAAAAATAAATGGAAAAGATGAAACTTGAAATCTTTCAAAAGACTCCTACTCATTGGTTTACATGTTTCCCCTTCACGCGTTACTCTCTCATAACGTGTTATTTAAAAACAACGAGACTCATTTTAAGGACATTAATGATAATCATGCAAACTAAAAATCTCTTTTAACTCGTGTACGCTTAACGCTCCACTTTTCTCCTGTCTCTGTAATCTCTAACAGTTTTCAGACCACAAAACATGGCATTGTAGACCCCATGTTGTCCATATGGGGTCACCAACTCTTTGTTAATGGCGATACCGATCAGTAAGTGAACTATATAAAATACACCTCTCATAATAAATATTTTCTGAAACATATGCAATGCCTTGCGTGTTCTATACAGAATAAATATATATATATATACATTTATATATAAATAAATATACATTTAACTTCCTTTTCCAACACATGTTTTCATTCCCACGCCTCCTTTATTACTCATTGTTTAAGCGTTATTCAAGCATTCGCTTCGATTTTTACTAATATTTTTAATTATCTAATAAAAGCTTAGTCGCTGTGTACATAAGCAGTACAGTTTTTAACTTTTTGATATTTGCGCCCTGGTACGTTCATATTTTTTCATTGTGTTCCCTCACGAAACTGACAACGTTTTAACGTCGGCTCTATGTATTTTTTACAGAATTGCAAAAACACTTTGCTTCAGCAATAAAGGGCATGGACTATACCTGTCGTCGCCCACGGAAATTCAGAAGTTCTCGGTATCCAGTCAGTTTTGGTAAGTACCCGTTTTACTTGTGCAACTGTTTTATATTCTTTGAATTATTATATATTGTTATATAAAGATAGTTTAATTATACATTATACATTTCTTAGGATTCAGAGTGTCAATAGTTTGGATTAAAAATTATTCAAGTGCCCAAACTTTATTTCTATATTATCATTTCTATATTCACAGTGCATAATGAATGCGTGTATAAAGCATGTGTTAGAGTTAGTGTTACGCGCCCAACAGTGACATTCGGGCACTCATCGCCGCGGTAGCCAAAGAAACAAAGGAAAAGCGACTCTAAACCAGGCGACCAATCGATGTGTGTCCGGTAAGGTCGCGCTGATTGGTCGCTCGGTAGATCCTCAATTTTACTATAAATGTAACATCGGCTCGCGTGAGCAACAACTTAACCCAGAATCAACAATCGTAGAAACAACATCAACCAAAAATCATATTTGTGTTGATGAATATATTTACAACCAGAGTTTAGTTTCCTTTACACAAGCACACATACACACGCGTTCACAAGCTCACAAATTCTGTGCAACCACAAATTAATCAATAAATAGTATTACTCCACGTCACGTGTCTTGCAATTATTACGGTCTCAAAGCTGTTTGCAATCTTTGGGTGATCCTTCGCAACAGCATCATAGACGGCACCTAGTGCAAATAATCAGGGCTCGACTACATCCTAACAACATGTTTAGTTGAAAGAAACATTTTATTGAAGGTGGTTTATTTATTTTACAAAGGAAATTCTTGAAGCTCATGTTGCATGCGTTATGCTTTCAGTGGCGAGTTAACTGAAATGATGGGTGATCTATTCATTGGTCACGATATGCCTGAACCACCTAAAGAAAGTTTCTTCAAAGGCCTTTTCGGTGGAGGATCACGAAGTCTCGACAGAGAAGAATTATGTAAGTGTAAACTATACACTATACGACATTCTATAACCTTATCGAATTACCAAATTTTACCAGGTTACCATTTTCTTTACCTTCCTTTGCCAGATTATTTTATAATAAATCAAGGTGCCAATTTCTGCGAACCTGCCAATTTTTACCAACTTACCTATTCTCGTCAAAACTACCAATATCTATCCACTTATCTATTCTTGCCCAATTACGAGTTTTCTATCAAATTACCTGTCTTCATAGAGTTTCCATTTTCTGCGAATTCCTTTGTCTTTCAAAAATTTGCGAATTCTCACTAAACTATCAATTTTTGCCAAATGACCAATTTCCAGTTGGAGAGTCAAGCGGACGAGCATCACGCACCGTGGCGAAACACATACCTGGACCGAACGCAGGCGCGGAGGCCCTTCGCGAGCGCGTGACAACCGCCACCGGCGAGGTGAACATGGCCCATCAAATGGTCCTGGAGCGCGGCGAGAAGCTCTCGCAATTAGAAGAGCGAACGGCTCGCATGATGAACGAGGCGGAAAGCTTCTCCCACTCCGCACACGGATTGATGCTCAAATACAAAGACAAAAAATGGTACCAACTATGAGAATATCGTGCGAGCTGGATCGAGAAAACCTGGAATTGCGCGCGGATCTATCGCAACGTA